CCGCTTTCCTTCCTGTGTCGACTGTTCTGATTTTCTGACTCCTCTTCTCCCTGCTGTGAAATGTCAGTACCACAGACACTGGGTATTGTAGCCTACTGGGGTGCTGTAGCCTGTTGAGAAGTTCTGCACCGCCTCTGTTTATCACCTGGGGTGGCGTCATGGTCCCCTAGGAAGGAGGCTCACACCAGCAAGGGGAGGGGGCGGAGGGCCTGAGCAAGGGACAGGAGCACAGTGCGGCAGACGAAGAGGAGACCTCCAGGCTCCAAGCCAGTGTGTCCCAGCTGTTGGGCCTGGACGCGCAGAGGTGTGGCCCTGTCTGGCTGGTGGGGGTCATCTCTGGGGGTGGCTGGTGGTGCCTCTGGGCAGAAGGAAAGGATACCTGCGAAGGATGGAGAAGGTCACATCCTGGGGTGGGTCACCACAGGTGCTCGGCACACTGGGGGTTGACTTCTGTCCAGAATGAAGATGTCTCTGCACAAATAGCTGAGACCCTGAGTCTTACTCTGCAGCACCTGGGCTGTGGGATGTCAGAAGTGATGGCTTTGCACTTGGCATCGTGGAGCGGGAGGAAGGCTCTTAGACCCTCAAAATTGTATTTACTCTTGCTATTTATTTTTGGGAACTTTATTGAGACACAATGTATGTACCGTGAAGTTCACCCGTGTAGAGTGTACAGTTCAGTTTCATAGTGTATTTTATAGAGCTGTGTACCCATCATCATCTAATTTCAGAACATTTATGCTGCCCCAGAAGGAAACCCCCTACTCAGGGGCAGACCCTCCCTTTTTCCCCTCAGCACACCCAGCCCCAGGCAACCGCTAATCTGCTTTCTGTTTTTTTAAGTTTGCCTTTTCTGGTCATTTCTTATAAAATGGAACCTATGAGAGTGGTCTTGTGCCTGACTTCTTTCACTTAGTGTGATGTTTTCAAGGTTCATCCATGTTGTAGCGTGTAACTTTGTTACATGTAGCATGTAGTCTTTGTTCCTTTTTATGGCTGACTAATATTCCACCGTGTGGCTGCACCACACTTTATCCATTCATCAGTTAATGGACATTTGGATTTGTTACATTTTGGCTATTATGGATAATGCTGCTATGAACATTTGTATGCAGAAACTTTTTTTAAATGTTATTTTAGGGAGCAAGAACATGAATGGGGGAGTGGGGCAGAGGGAGAAAGAGAGAGAATCCCAAGCAGGCTGCACGTTCAGCGCAGAGCCTGACCTGGGGCTTCCTCTCACAGCTGGGTTTATGACCTGAGCTGGAATCACACTTAACCGACTCAGCCAACCAGGTGACCCGTGTGCAGGCTTTTGTGTGGAAGATTCTAGTTCTCTCAGGTATGTATGTAGGAGTGGGATTGCTAGGTGTTATGGTAACTCCATCTTTAACTTTTTGAGGAAAAAGTTTGTTTTCCAACTTGGTAGTCCCATTTTACCTTTCCGCCAGCGTGAGAGTTCCAGTTTCTCCACATCCTACCAAACGCTTGGTTTTCTCTTAGTGGGTGTGGAGTGGTATCTCCTTGTGGCTCAGATTCGTGTTCCCGTGACTGACTAATGATGTTCAGCGTCTATTCATGTGCTTACTGGCCGTGGATATGTTTGTTGGAGAAATGTCTGCTCAAGTCCTTTGCTCATTTGAAAAATTAGGCTTTTTGTTACTGTGAGTTCTTTTTTTTTTCTTCAAATTTTTTTCAATGTTTATTATTTTTGAGAGAGAGAGAGAGAGAGAGAGACAGAGTGCCAGCGGAGAAGGGTCAGAGAGAGAGGGAGGCAGAATCCCAAGCAGGCTCCAGGCTCTGCTCTGTCAGCACAGAGCCTGATGCGGGGCTTGAACCCACAAACTGTGAGATCATGACCTGAGCTGAAGTTGGACGCTGAGCCACCCAGGTGCCCCAAGTCCTTGCTGACTTTTAGCCTTTGTACATTTTGAACCATTGGACTTTCCAGTCTCTGAGAAAAGTGAGTACCATAATGAGACATCTTCGACTTCGCATGTGAAGCAATTGTTCTGTCCTACTGAATTAAAGTGCTTTTCTCCGTGATGAGTGTGTGTGCTTCATTTCACGCCCACCCGTCTTCCTGCCCCGTGGAGTGTGGCGTCATGCTGAAGACCAGAGCTGGTGATGGGGGCAGACTGCACGGGCCCCTGGTAAGACTGTTCAGAAAGGTTGTGGTCAGCTTTTTCCCCCCTCTTTGCTGGGGCTTCTAAAGGACCCCTTTAGAATTTTTTTTTTCAGCTTTATTGAGCTGTAGTTCACCTATTTATGTGATTCAGTGGTTTTAGTATATGATTTAAAAAAAAATTATAGAACATATGTAACATAAACATTTGCCATGCTGTTTTTAAGTGTATAATTTAGTGGTATTTACTGTTTGTACAACCATTATCCCTGTTTCTGAAAACTTTGCATCATCCTGAACTGAGACCATGTGTCTCCTCTCCTCTCCCCTGCAGCCTCTGGTAATCACTCCTCTATCTGCCTCTATGAATTTGCCTGTCGTCACGGTCTCGTCTGGTGGACTTGAACAAGATTTGTCCTTTTCTGTCAGGCTCCTTTCACTGAGCACACTGTCTTCAAGGTTAGTCCGTGTGGTAGCAGGTGGCAGAATTTCATTCCTTTTTATGGCTGCATAGTACTCTGCTGTAAGGTGTTCCACATTTTATTTACCTGTTCACCTGTCCGTGGAGGCTTGTGTTGCTTTCATCTCTTTTTTAAAAAAAATGTTTAGGTATTTTGAGAGAGAGAGAGAGAGAGAGAGAGAGAGAGAGAGAGAGACAGACAGACAGAGAATCCCAAGTAGGCTCTGCACTGACATGGGCCTTGATTTCATGAACTGTGGTATCATGACCTGAGCCAAAATCAAGAGTCAAACACTTAACCCACCGAGCCACGCAGGCGTCCCTTGCTTCCATTTTTTGACTATTGTGAATGTTTTTGTGAACATTAGTGTTTCCTTACCTGTTTGAGTCCTTGCTTTTCCTTCTTTTAGGTGTATACCTAGGGGTAAAATTGATGGATCACGGGAAATAATTTTGTATTTAACTTTTTAGGGTTTATTACTTTTTATGTATAAAGGTTAAAAACTTACAGCTCTGAGGTTGGGTCGCATGTGAGTATAGACGGGTGACTTAATTAAAACATACGACCGTTTCCTTGTTACAAAGATCTAGGACTGCAGTGGTGCTTTGAGAGACAGATACGAAGGGCCTGTTGGGGTCTCTGTGGCTGTGTCTGTCACATGTGACCTTTGGAGGAATTGCAGTAGGAGGCGTCGGTTGTGCGGCAGGCACACACAGTTCCACAGCGAAAATCTGCAGGTCGCGATGGCCTCTGCCCTCCCCGGGAGCCCCGAGGCCTGTATCTGCTCCCGTGCTGCACTGTCCCGGGAGGGCAGGGTGGTCATTAACTGCCCTGGTTCCTCTTCTTATCACCTAAGGTGAAGCCTGACACTTCTAGGTGAGCTGTAAAACATGGTGTTCTCAGAATCTTTGGGCCCTTGACATGCAAGGTCTGCATTCTTGTGTGTGGAGCACGTGGTGAGAGCTTGTCTATAGGGTGCCTGGCTTTGGGTCCTGAGCCTGGGACGCAGCCTCTGATGTGTGGTTTTGCTTCCTGCAGGGTGTTGACTTGCTGGAAAGCAGGGGTACCCTGTTTTGCTCTCTGTCAAAACATTCTGGTATCTGGAGATGAGAGAGCCCTGGCATGCTGGTGAGCGGAGAGCACGCGGCTCGGCCGTGAGCCCTGACGTTTTGGGTCAGCGGCACGTGGTCTGAAGGCACACCTCAGCTCCGCACTGCCATGTGCTGCAGGACGGGGCCTTCTTGAAAAGTGGGAGGAGGGGGTCCTGTGAGGGCCTGCGGGGCGAGACGCGCAGGTGCAGACGGCCTCTCCCCAGGTGGCAGTCTTAGGAACTGAGGCTTGGGGAGCCTGAGGCCTGGGGAGCCCCAGGGGGCTGTGGACTCGGAGACCCCAGATCTCGCCACATGCTCGCGCTCTCGCACTGGCCGGCATGCTTTTTCTCTATTTAACTGATGCCTCAGCTCTTTCCCTCTTTTGTGGAGTTTGTTTATTGTGGCAGACAATAACACGTAACACGGAGTTCATGTGTTCTTAACGTCACCTATGAGTTTATTGGAAAATTAGCCATGTATACATCATTTTGGAAAATGGAGAAGGAGGCTGAACGAGTCAGGAAGTTCACTGTAACATCATACAGAAATAGAACACGTTAGCAGTAGCTTTACCAGCGGTACGTGTTCTTCCTGGAAATAAATTATTTGTATAAATAGCCTCTTGATGTTTGTGTATTTTCACTCTTAACAAATCACATAATTTTTACATATAGCACTTTAATGACAGAACTGGAAAAAAAATTTTTATGGCATCTTTTTCCAGTAATTGTTATCTACTTCAAAACACACAATAGGTTTGATAGCAAAACAGCTAAAAGCAATTTATTCTAGTGCTAATATATTTATAAGAAAAGTATTTTTAATGGTCTTCCTATAAGATGGATTACATTTCAAAGCTGTCTTTTAATCTGTGCATTCCATTTTACATTTTACAAAAATGAAAGTCAATGTTGAACTCCTCAGTTTTAAGGGTATGAGTCATTTAAATATTTTTACAACCAAAAGTAGAAGCACCTTTGAATATTCTTGCTTGATATTTTCAAAACCTGAATTGCAGCTGCTTTCTTCTTTCCTTCTTCCTTTCTCCTTCCTTCCTTCCTTCCTTCCTCCCTCCCTCCCTCCCTTTCTTTCTTTCTTTCTTTCTTTCTTTCTTTCTTTCTTTCTTTCTTTCTTTCATCTTTCTCTCCCTCTCTCTTTCTCTCTTTTCTTTCTCCCCTTCCCTTCCTGCCTTTCTCCCTTCTTCCCTTCCTTCTTCCTTTCTCTCTTTCCCTCCCTCTCCCTCCCTCCCTCCCTGCCTTCCTTCCTGAGAAGAAGGGAGCTGCATTGTAAGAACTGACCAGGGAAATCTAAGGTGCAGTGAAGAGTCGCTGCTGTTGTAACCTACTTTGGAAGGTGTGTCTGCATCTGGCAAGAGCCGGCACTAAGACACCCGAGTTCTTTTACGAAGGGTGAACACTCTGGCTGTGTCGCTCGGCTTCGTCTTCTTCGTTCCTTGCTGGGACTTCCCTGCATCCCTGGGGCTTGTCCTCTTTTGGCCTCTGGGTCTGAGGTCACACTGAGCCTCCAGGTTTTCCGTGGCGCTGAGAGTGGGTGTGTCTTGTGGGCAGGCGGACTCTGGGGCCTTGGGCTCCCCATCGCCCACCTGGACGTTCCCTGGGCTGTAGGCCGCCAGCTGGCAGAGGGCCACGGCGGCCGTCTGCTTCTGCTCGTCGCCGCTGTCCAGCGCCCTCGCGTCCTGGGCCTTCGCAGCAGGTGTTCTTGGTGGCACCTCTGCTGCATCGAGGCTGCTTTGGTTCATCTGGGCATGTTCTGGCCCATCTTCGGGATGTTCCGTGGCAGTGTTTTGAGCGGGGGCAGGGGCGGGTTCTGCCTCTTGCGGTCGGCTGTGGAAGGGAGGTCTCGGAGTCAGGGCATTACAGGGGTCCTTCACTGAGAGGTTGAGAGGCACATCCTGCACTTCTGCAAAGTCCTTGTACACCGAGCTGTGAGTGGCTGCTTTGGCCTCTGGTTTCTTGGAGAGGTTTAGCGGGGCCGTCCTGGGGCCGTCCTCTGGGCTGGGAGGTGCGGCCTCTGGACCATGAGAGGTGCTTCCTGTCTCGCCTGGAGTGTCTCCGTTCATGGCGTCGAGGCTGGAAGAGGCAAAGAGAGGCCTTAATAGGAACCTTGCTTAGGAAAGCCATGGTTTAAAGCATTTTGAGCAAGTATGAGCTTGGCTAATGGAGCACAATCAGAGACATGCTTTGGAGATCTTGAAAATGAATTTTTCTTACCTTTTTGGGGACTCTTCTCTGTTTTCCAGAGCCTGGGAATGTGGGTGCTCTGTACTTTTCTTGACAGGCTTGAAGGCTGTGAGGCTTTGTTCGGGCTGGTGGAGCCTTCCCAGGGTGCTGGCGGCCGGCCTGTCCGAGAGGCCGCACGGCTCGGCACATGGCTGACTTGTCTGCGTGAAGTTGGTGGGGCTCGGCCTTCCAGGGGAGCCAGTGGCTGCGCTGCCTGCACGAGGGCTCATTTTGGTTCCGTCTGTGTCCCGCTGCCCATCTTGGGAGGGGTCTTTGGCCTCGGGAGTTGGGCTCTCCTTCTCAAACTCTGTGTGTTTTTTGTGCATGTTGGAAGGACTTGACTTGGATGGACTCAGGGCCGGGTAGAGCAGAGCCTCTTCCAGTAGGTGAGAGCTGTGATCTCTGGACATGCCCGTGACGGGTGGAAGTCTGAGCCCGTAGGAGGAGAACGCAGACTCTGGCCTGTAAAACCCATAAGGAATTGGCAGGCTGGAGTGATACTGCTGGAGGAACCTGTAATGGTCATATGCCGAGGGGGGGTTCAGGTGCTTGGGGACCGGCCCCGGGGGAGGCAGCAAGTGCCTTTGGTCTTGGGCCCCATAGACGGACAGCAGGGGGGCATCACACTCAGGCGAGTTCCCAGCAAGTAGGTAGGGTGAATAGACAGTGGCCAGTCCATGCTCTGTGTAGAAGTGCGGCTGGTACTCTGGGATTGCGGGGTGCATGTAAGGGGAAATGGCACGAAACCCCTTTGTGGAGGGGATTTTGTGTGGGAACTCAGGCGGGAGGAAAGGCGCGCCAGGTTTCCACGGGTAGCCAGGAGCATGGAATGCGGACTTGGTGTGGAAGGAGGTGGCTTTGGCTGTGGGGCCGGGCAGGGCCAGCAGTTCAGGAGCTTCAGCGTGCTCTGGCCCTTTGAGTCTGTGCTCTCCCACTGGGACAAATGCCGAAGGCCGCACAATGCCTTCCAGAACAGGCTGAGTGCCCCTGGTGGCTTCTGGAGCTGGACTCAGGGATGCTGCTTCTTCCTGGAGAGCAGGCTTCTGTCCTGGGCACCTGTGGGGCCCACGTGCCTGCAGTTCCACGTTTTCCTTGATGTCGTCCTTGCCAAGGCTTTGCTGGAGCTTGGCCTCAAAGTGTGGGAGCCCGTTGGTGACAGGCTTGGCAGAGGTGGGCTTTGCTGCCGCGTCTGGCTGATTTGTCTGCTTAGGGTCCAGAGAGTTGGATTTGGGGCACTTGGGGATGCGGTCCTGCTCTGACACTAAAGTGATGGAGTTTTTGCAGAGACCGTACTTCATGTGGTTGAAAAGGTGTGACTTTTCATTGCAAGTGAAAGGGCACTGGAAACACTTATACTTGAAGGGTTTTCCTGGAGGCCTCGGGATGTAATGCGGCTTCTTTGGTTTTCGCTCTTTGAGAAGACTCATGTTCCTTCTTGTGTAGGTGCTGGTCCCCTCGCTAGTCCGGTCGCTGCTTACGATCTGGTGGCCACTGCTTCTCCTTCGCTTCCTTTCCAAGTGCTTCTATTTGCAGCCTCCTCCATGTGCTGTGGGTCTGACGGGTGAGGTTTCGCTCATTGGGGCGGGGGCTGCAATGGAGGAGCAGAGCCTTAGCCTCACAGTAGGTCACCTGGAGGCACAGAGGGGTCACCAGCCTCGTCAGTGCGAGGACGAGATGAGCACCAACTGCCCCCTCCTTGTAAGCTGGCCACCAGCCCCCCACCGTGTTCCTGTTTGCTCAAGTTTGACCTGAAAGAGTTGGCCTGGGGCCAAGAAGAGTGTGGTGTGTTAGTGCCGGCTCTGAGAACACCTGTAATTCTGTGAGTTTTGGGAATCTTTGTCCTGTGACCTGAGGCCTTGGATGCCAGGGAGGTTGTATTGACTGCTGGGACCCCACTCCCCCGTCCATGTTCATGGCTTCTGTGGTGCTCCTCTGACTGCACTGACCAAGACCACAGGGGCCCGGCCTGTGTATGGCTCCTTGACTGTTCTGTCCTGTTTAATCGTGTTGTGTTCTACGTGTGGCTACTTAGGAAAGAAGAATATTTAAACATGCAGTCCTACCCTACTGCTTCCAAAATCAAATGAGAAGTCCACGTTACTGGTGAGTAGCATTTATGCTGTCTCACAGACACATGTAAGCACCGTGTTTATGTTGACTCAGATGGTTCTAAGATGCCATCAAGGTGAGTTTCTGAGCTGTGTGAGTGACTGAATGCTCTCCTTCGCCGCCCTGTTACCGCCGCCCACGTTGTGAGCAGTGTGGAGTAAGCTCTTGCCCTGTCCCTGCCTGGCATGTGGACAGCTGAGAACTTGACTGGCCCAGGGTGCTTGCCTGCCTTTCCTGGCCTTACCTCCAAACGGCGGTGCCTGTGTGAGAGATGGGTGGATTGCGGTGGGACCCCACCCATAAAAGCCTTTACCCTTTAGGAGGTGGGCCTTGGGCCGCTCTTGACGAAGTTTTTGGTGGGCAGGCTATGATGGCCAGCGGGTGGCATCACCTCCCCCACACCCTGGGCCCTGGCAGGGCTGTGCGTGTCCCGTCGGCACCTTCCCCGAGGGCCCTCCTCTCCCTGTCCCCTGCCCTCCTGGGCTTACCCAGAGCCTGGTTTCCTTCACAGGCTGCTCCTCGCACCCCTGGGGCGCTCTCAGCCTCAGAACCCGAAACTGAGGACAAAGACGTGAGGTCTGGGAGGATCTTGCACGGCCCCAGTGGCGCGGCCGGGTGCCCCAGACCAGCCCATGGTGTGATTGTGTCTCAGAGCAGGCGTGTGGGTGGGGAGGCTGCAGGGCAGCGGGAGGAGTCAGGGCCCGCGCTTTCACGTAAGACCTGCGGTTTCTAAGTGTTGTCAGCTTTAAAATAAAGTTAAAAAGAAAGGAAATGATTTGGGAAAACTTTTCAGGTGCAGCTTTGCTTTAAGGAATGAGCAGATAAGGTCAGTCCTGAGACTTGTTTTTTTCATGGATAAGGCATCGCCTGCTAGACATCGGGGTGGTGAGAACGTTCAGCTGGAAAGCAGACTTTTAAAAGTAGAGAAACACACATGGGAAACTGAAGAGCCTTGTTTTCACAAAGTAAAATGTAGTTTCTCTGTAGTGCCTTTCCTTGCGTCCCACACACTGTGATGAGGTCACCGGCAGTGTCAGGACCGTGGGGGCAGGCGCCGTTCGGGTTTTCAATTGGATACAGTACATTTCTGAGAAAGCTCTCTCTGATTTTATTCTCAGTGAACTGGTTTCTCTACTCATTTATTCCTTTTCCTTAGAAACACACCGCACCCCCCCACCGAAACTGCCTCTGTTAACCTATTTTGTCATCATTCAGTGCTTTCAAAGATGTGTATTTACTAAGAAGTTGTTCTGCCAATGCCTGTGGCTCCTCTTTTGAGGAGTTTCTGCAGAGCAGGAGTGGCGAGGCACGTATTTCGGGTGAGAAACAAGGTTTCTGGCTGCCCTGTGACCGTGACAGGGGAGAGGGGGGTCCCAGGGACCTCCAGGGCGCTCACTGGCTCACCCTGCCCCCGACCTTCCCTGCCACGGTGCGGCTGCAGGAGCCACAAGGCAGTGTCAGAGCCGAGCCTGTTAAACATGTAAGCATAGCTTTATGTCTTTCTAACTTTCCCTCTTATTAAAGGGAAAAACGTGAAGTAACTCTTTATGAGTTCAACCCATACCTTGGGGGGAAGGTACGCTCTGGGCTATAAAAGCACAATTTCCTTGCTGCCCGTCAGGAAGCGATTCCAGCCAACCTGGGCCAGCTAGATAAGTCAGCGGGCGTGTGCCGGCACGTCTCCCCATGCTCCCTGGTTCTGAAGGCGTGAGAACCTCTGCAAGTCAGGTTCCCATGATTGTATAGGATGTGTTATGGCAAAGATCCGAAAAGTGATTTCATCACTAGCTGGAAGCATCATGATCAAAATGATGACAGTTACAAAACTTTATCAAGTGTGAGCCCAGAGTCTAGCGATGTCCGGAGTGGACACAGGTCCAGCCACTGGCATCTAGATCCCGGGAGCTCAGATGAAAGAAAAGCTCCCTCTGGTTTTAAGAGAATGATTCAGATGCGCTAGATAACGACGTGTTAGTTTCAGAGGCAGTGTTTTTTAATACTGCTCATACTTTTAGGCAAACATATAGATAAATGTGTTAAAGTTTATCAGACGTTTATAGGAGGCAAGTTATATTTAAGTTATCCCAGTGTTACCCAGAAGAATAATTTAGGTAATAATTGCTTTTATGTTAATAATAATTAATGTGTACTTTTTTTTCCATCAAATGATGTCATGTCTAAAGTTTGGGTCTGAATTTTTGTTCTTTGTTCAGTTAGCGTACAGGACAGTAAACAGGTTCTCTGGGGATCGTGCTGGTGCCCCGGGAAGTGAGGGCATTCCAGGCTGACCTGTGGGAAGGGAAGCCTGGGATGGAGTCACAGGTCGGTCGTGTCCCTAACTTTGGGTAAACTGACCTCTCAGGGTTGTACAATTTGCTAATTAAAACAAGGGCACACAGCTGCCTCTGAGGCTGATGGAGACAGGTGTATTGACTTGGCCATAAAAACGCAGTACTGTCAGAGAAATAAGTGGGCTAAAACTGAGGCTGTTGTAAGCTTTCGAAGGGGACAGCCTGTAGAAGGAGGTCAGTCTGAGAGTTCTGCCCTGGTGAGGGGCACCAGGATGAAGGAACTGCCTGGGACCTCATCGGTCTTGCCCTCTGGAGGGATGCCGCTTGTGACCGTCTCTGCCAGGCCAGGTTCTGTCCACTGGGCTTGGTGCTGCTGGCAGCTGCTGGCGTTAAATATTCTGAAAAAGGGTATTGTTGCCAAAACAGCACAATCCAGAGCTTTAACTGTAAGTTTGGATTTGCATTGGGAGGTGAGGTGTTTCTGAATGTGCCCAGGGGTGTTTCCCATAGGCTTTTCCTGGGGCCGGCATGTGCCTTTCTCAGTTACTTTGTAGCTGGGGAGCTGCTTGTTAGGCAAGACCCCTTTGATTTGACTTTCCTTAGAGAGCTGCAGTGTTAGCCTCTTTTGAAGCTCAGGCATGAGCCTGGTCCTGAAAGGTTTGCCCTCGACCAGCAGGAAGTGCCAGGAGCTGCCTCCTCACGCACCTTCCCTCCGGTCAGGGTCAGAGCCACTGTCACTGAGATGCGGTCTGTCCTCTGCCACCACTCTCTCCGAATCCTCGACTGCGTGGCCCGTGCACACAGTGTCCACACTGGGGGGAGAGACCAAGGGGGTGGTGACGGGGGACCACGCAGGAGGCTCGACGTGGCCGTTCAGAGGTTTTCCTGTTTAAAACTGTCCCTTTGTGACCTCAGGTATTTTGCACACCTCCTTGTGTGGAGCTGACGTGCTTCCTTGCCTTGGAGGGTGCTGCCCTGTCGCTCCTTCTGAGGGGCCCCTGCTCGCATGCCCGCCGGGCATCTGGGCCAAGCTGCCCACACAGCGCTCTGAGCAGCCTGTGGTTTCGGTTGGCCACAGGGTTTGTGTGCTTGTTTTTGAAGTTATAAATTGCCAGTGCCCTGTCTCTCGATAGGTTCCTAAGTGTGGACAGTTAACGTGCTTGCCAGTTGTTAGGGTGATAGTGAGTGGCTGGCATGTTTGAAAAGTTTCTAAGAAGTTAGAAACCTAAAAAACAGACAAGAGAAAAAGATTTTTTTTTGAACTTTGATAGGACACAAGAGAGGTAATTATAGCTCAGCTTTATAGGACATTGCTGTGACGGGCTGGGTAACTATGCTTGTCACGCATGTTAACCTGTGCACTGAAATAAGGCTGTAATGGTCCCTTGGGTGCTGTCTGGCAGGGAGCCTCGTCAGGCAGAGCGTTTTGAAGGGCATGCTATAATTACAATATTGTGATGTGGCGTTATTGCATAACCCAAGGACACGCCATTGTCGCCTACCCACTGGGGTGTCGCAAGAACGAGATTTGTGAGTTTTACTCCAATTGAGCTTTTCCAGTGATTAACCGCCACTCCCTCCCAGACTCTTGGTTCTTTAAAATGAAGGATAAACTTCAGGACAACCATGACCTAGGGAGAGAGACAGTTTTCTAGAATGTAGTTGAGAAGAATGGATCTGGAAAAACAATCAGGGCTCTTTTGAGTTTCGGCCGGAGATCTCGACTTAACAGACATCCGCCCTTACCAGTAACTTAACACAGCTTTAACGCTGGAGAGCAGAGCCAGTGCACCTCAGCGTGCTCACCTCCTTCATCCCTAAAAACACCAGGTTAAAGCATTGGAAGGAGTTTGTTCATGCAAAATAAAGATAATAAATGTAGACAGATTTTGCTTAAATGAAGTCTGCCTTTGGTCAGACCTGGCCATTTGGCCAATAATTGTTCTGAGAGCTGGCTTATGAGAAACTTTATAAGGAGGAAAAAACCCTGCCTTTTTGTGTATATAGGGATCCTCTTTGGTTAAGTT